CTCCATCCTCAGAATTGCTTAGCGCTAGGGACATCCCAGAGCTGATGGGAAGAAAAAGACAGACCTGGGACACAGCTGGGAATCTAACATTTATGCTGAACAAAAGTATTACTCAGATATTGGAGATAAAGTTAAAAATTTCTTTAAAAAGAACAATGGTTAGCGGGAAAATATCCTCTGCCCCCTGACCTGCTACAAGCCAGTATTTATTTTTTGAGGCACAGCTCTCCATATTATCATTGGAGTATCCCCTATATAGGAGAGAGGCAAGATGAAGTGGAAGGAAGCAGATCAGTAGCCTTGCATCTAACCTGCAGAACTAAAATAGCAAAATGAACAAAGAACTACACAATAAAATACAGTATCAAGGTAAAAGAGAAGGTATGCATGACTGTAAAAAATAAATGTATGCAGAATCTTGAATGTAGTTGAATTGTGTATAACTTCTCAATAATGGTAAGGTTCTAGAACATTTTAATGTTGACTCTTTTGGACCAAATTATGGTACTGATCTTACAACAAAGAAAGAACACACTGGTAGGAAGAGGCGTTCAAATTATTGTAATGAAGAAAAGTTCCTTGTACTTTCAAAGACCCAAATAGTTAAAAATTAAAAGTGGCTCCTGAAGGCACACCAACCTATCCATCCCAGACGGATTCAAGACTGTTAATGCTTGTTAAAGTTATAAATTACATTAAGCTCTGTGAATTTTTAAACAAGTAAGGACTATAATCTCAATCCTTAAACACTGCAAAAGAGTACTGACCCTGAAATGGCATCTCTTTATAACATGAAACACGGTTCAAAAATTTCCTGAAGTTGAGAGACGCTTTCTTAAACAAGATACAATTACAGGCTTTTAATCATGAGTTAAGTACTCAAACTTATTATTTTCAAACTTCTTTGAAATTCTCTAGCATATAATGAACAGGTTGCAACCGTTACAACCTTCTCAATTCAACCTGTTCAAGCAGACTCAAACAGAAGGGAAAAATGAGCTTTCTGGATTATGGGAGCCTGCAATACTCTGCTGAGCTGAATAAAAAATAGTAAGAAATGCTGATAAAAATTCTAATTAATGCTTTCTTCAACTGCCTAAAAATAAGCTAACAGATACTTATAATCAAAATACTTTCAACTATGCTTTGCCATAACAGCAAAAAGCTGTCATTTACATCATGGTAATAACTCATTTTAACTTCAGACACACATATTACAGTTCTTTGATCATTAGAAAGATCCTAAGTAACATTACACGGCTTTTTTACTATTTAAACAAAAAACCAAACCAAAACAAAAAGAAAAACTAGAAGATGCCTAAACACCAACACATCAGAACATAACTGCTTGTGTCCACAGAAATGCAGTTTAAATAAACTGAAATTCAATTTCATACTATGCCATGGAGGAGGGAGAATGTGTAGGGAACATGGAATTGCAAGAGCAGATATGGAAGAGCCTGTGAGTGTATTTACACATTACACTGTCTAGGTGGCAAATCAAATGAAATGATTCAACTTAGAAATCTTTTAAGAGAAAGTGAGCCTGGGGCACTATGTTCTGCACAAAAATAAAGCTCTTTGTTTCTGCAGCATGCCTTTTCCTGGAACTGTTTTGCCACACTCATCAATAAGGCCTTCACTTAACTGCTCTTCCTTAAGCACAGAGTTCCCTGACCTATTTCTTTCACAAATCCCATTACTTGTTACCCTGTGAACTCTCATTTATTAACATCCATGGCCCCTCTTTTGAAGGCTCTAGCACAATTTTACTGCCACTGGATTCTTAAAGTTATTGATCCTTTTTATCTTCAGTAACAATCGCTCAGGCATTGCACAGTCTGCCCTGAACAATCCAAGCCCTACCCTTAACCTCAAATTTTCATTTCTGTTGTTTTAGCCACTGGAAAGGACATGTTGAAATTCAACATTTCCTTTCACTCTCTTATTCTCATCTTCAACTGTTCTTTCAGCTTGCTCTCCACCTAGTTTTATCCTGGAAAAAAAATCAGTGAAATTCCAGCAAAATATTCCATACTGTAGAGGAGAGGGTAAGACTGCATGAAGTTCTCGTTTTAAAATATCAGAAGAGCAAAACAGAAATAAAAAAAGCTTTTTTTAGAAACACAAATTTTCAATCAAATGTCATATAGGGCCCAGGCTGTGCCAGCCTGCCCACCCCACCAGCATCATTCTGGGTCACTCCTGGCATGAGACACTGTGTGGGGATTCTGAGAGCTCAGCTCACACTGCAGACCTGCCCTGTTGGGACATATTCCAGAGGGTTCCTTCACTTCCCACTCATGGGTTTTTTTCATAAAATTTGCTGGGATTTGGTCTTGTAAGGTAAATATACTACAATCAGTTTCATTGCTCAAGTTCAATTTTTAGAATAGTACTGTCAAGCAGATACATACACAGACATTGTGTCAAAAGATGAGTCTTTTTCTCAGGAAATATATCAGATTTCTTGCATTCTCTCTATATTAATCATAAATTTACTCTCCCAGGTCCAAGCTGAATATAATATTTATGCAGTTTATTCTGCTATTTTTCTTCAACACAGTCAATCTAGAAACAGAGGGAGAAACAGAGGGAGAAACAGAGGGAGAAACAGAGGGAGAAACAGAGGGAGAAACAGAGGGAGAAACAGAGGGAGAAACAGAGGGAGAAACAGAGAAAGAGAGAGAGAAAGAGAGAGAGAAAGAGAGAGAGAAAGAGAGAGAGAAAGAGAGAGAGAAAGAGAGAAGAGAAGAGAAAGAGAGAGAGAAAGAGAGAGAGAAAGAGAGAGAGATATGGAACTTTTACCAAGAGCCTTCTCATTTCACATTTCATGTAGCTCAAACTATTTTGTCAATGTCAGGGAGAACCAGACAAAACAATAGAATCCTGCTCATCCAAAATATGGTTGCAGAAACAGTTTTCCAACTGTGTTGCTTTCATCATATAATCTTTCTCTTTGCACATTTCTTGCACTCAGCTGCATCCCATTGGAATTGATTCCATCCACAGCTCAACACACACTGCTACCTTGATTTTTTTCCCCATAAAACAGACCCCAGAGACAGGAAGATTGGGTGAGCAGCAGAAACACATCCTGCCATGCAGGTACAGCTGTGGTAACAGCTCGGAATCGTGAGGGAAAAACTTCAAATAGCAAAGAGCTGGTTCGTCAAACACACAGCAAGGTTTTGTTACTGGCTGCACCCAACAGGTAAAGGTTCACCTGTTTCTGGGCTGCTAACAGTATCTGAGTGTAACAAATTTAAGACACTCTAAAATATACATTAACAGACAGTTTCTGCTCTAGGAAGTTATACCCTGAAAACTTTAGGACAAAGTGTAATTTGTTTCACAAATGGGTAACAGACACAGATGTAAATTCCATGAGCAAATAAGGAACTGCATTAATTTCAAGTTACACAAATACTTCAGACTCCTGAAATCAAGTCCTCACTTTTCCAAGGTAATACATCAAAGGTATGAGATAGCTTGGAACAGAAACTGGGGAGAGGTGGTGGTCAATCGAACCCTAACCACAAGACAATTATTCCTGTAATTAACAGAGTGCAACATGAAAGCAGTCTTTGTCCACGAAATATCCCAGCTTTCCTACGTGTTTGAATCTAGTCAGATAACCAGAAAATTGTATATCAGCTCTGTTTGAACACTGTTTGGGGACACGTATCATGTGTATTTAATTAGGAAGGCCTATTCTTTACTCGAGGGAAAATATGAATATTCTTTCTGGATTTTGAGAAGCTCCTATGTAAGATTTCATACACATAGTTTTTTGCTGTCATATATATGTCAACTATCAAGTTAAAGAAAAAACAAGTCTTACTAGTATATTTTTTAGGACATAGTGTTTACAAGGTCTGCAATACTGACAAGCACCTTTTAGATACCCTGATTTGGCTTTTGGGCAGAAAAACCCCCACTAATTAAGTGCTAAATGTGCAACAGTCAATAAAGATAAATCCTTTGATATCAGCAGCAATAGGTAGAGCTAACAGATTACCATCCAATTAATACATGCAGTCAAAATAAGACCTGCACAAAATTTGAAAAACCAATCAATACTTCAGTCTTACTGCAATTCCTCTCTAGGTCTGAGATGAATATTGAAGTAAGATTAATTTAATAAGAATAATCTAATTTTATCAACTTCCAGCCTTATAATTCCCACACTTGTTGAAGTCCAGAAAGCAATATCTAAGTCTTTGTCATGAGGTTCACTCAAATTTGCAAGCTTTTATAGGATCATGTTTACAGGGCCTCTTTCCACTTGTATCCCAGGAAAAAATGATAGTTCCATCCAATTTCTGTGTGCATGTGCTGCGGGTTGCACATTCCCCTGCGTGTTAGTATTCCATCTCCATGCTCACAGACCCCTTGGAATTGCTGGCTGAACAAAAATAACCCCAAAAACCCAAACAATCAAATAAATATAATTATTTTCTTGTATACTTAAGTAGACAGAGAGCACATATAACTTCAAATCAACATGTTACTGAAAATTTAAGTCAATACTAACACTCCCTATTTTCATCAAATAATAACTAAAATCTACACAAAATGAGATTTTTTTTTATTATGGTTTTTTTTTTTATATATGTGAACAATCAGCCACTGGAATGATCTCCCCAGAGAGGCAATGGATTCCCCAACACTGGACAAATAAGATTTAGCTGGACAGGGCGCTGGGCCAACTTGTCTAGACAGTGATTTTGCCAAGAAAGGTAGGACCAGATAATCCTTGGGGTACCCTACTGACCTGCTATTCTATATTTGACATAAACTTCTTCTCCATATAAGAGGTTTGTGACAATCACACGAAATAGATCTAACAGAATCACAATAATAGCTTATCTCTCGTTCATCAAAGTATTTCTGTCATGGTGGACTAGCAGCACCTTCCTAACAATCTTCATTAAACTCCTTGAAATATTAATATTGGAAAAGAAACACTGCATTGCTTTATAAAGATTTGCAAAATGTGTAATCATCCCTTAAAGGAAAGCCACACAACAGATGCTCTCTGAAAAGCAATAAGTACACACATTCCTTCAGTTTCAAGGAAGCAATATAAAAACCTTTTACTGTTTATTCAAATAAAGTCACACATTATGAGCTTACTTCTCCCTACCCCTGCCCAAACAATTGATGTTTTATCAGCTCTGCAATGTCTGATCTTTCTCCAAGTCAGACAGGAGATCAGAGGATTTAACCTGTGTTATCCTTGTAAAATTGTATATAAAATACAGCAGAGAACACGTATCTATGAATCTCATTTAAACCGTGCTTAACAAAGCACAAATATTTATTGTAAAGCATAACTGATTATTAGGAAAATTAAGAACTTCATATCTCTTTGTTGTTCACATCTAGTGATAACAAAGATATCAATTTCTGGAAGTCTACCAAAAAGTTACATTTTATTATGAGCACGTATGATTTAAGCATTGCCAATAAATTCTACATATTTAGTTATAGCTGACATTTATGATGTTACTTGAAGAATAATGAATGCCTTAACTTGAAATATGCACATGCCTTTAAAGAAGTGAGCTGAATGTCAAAGGAAGCTTTTAGTAACTTACATATGAACAAATATCTTCTATCATCTAGAAAGGTTAATGAAATCACATTTTCTGAGGTTTCTGTGCTGCAGACCAAAGTGACAGCAAAAGAGAGCATTTACTATCCAGAAGGGAAAAGAGAAAATAAATTATTATATGATAGATCCTATATATCTTAACTGCTAGTAAAACATTTTAATGTTTCTTTCATTGTATGCATTAGATAATCTGCAACTTACTGAATGAGTTATTTTTGAAGACCGTCACAGCATACTCGCATTTTAACCTTTTATGCAGAAACAATTACTGTATTAATCACCGTAAACAATTTCTGTATTAATTCTGTTGTGCAAACTCAGGGAGGGGGAAATGCTCGCAAACTACTCCACCGTTTCAGATTCACCTCGTATTTCCTCAGCCCTAATTCACACAAGTCCTGCATTATAGAACAAACGTCAAGGGGAAAATCAGAAAATTTCATTTGGCACCGGTGAGGTTCAGCCAGGACAGGCACAGAGGGGGGATTCTAACAATCACTCGCACGTTCATTAAACACACTCCCCTCATTCTCCCTGCTCCAAGGGGCTGACAATGCACTCGCAGCAGCCTCGGGCCGGTTCCAGCACAACTCGATGTTCCTGCATTTGACGTGCAAGTGGCCAAATAAAAACAAACTCCCCCCACACGCACGGGGGTTTTACTCTACAAAAAACAAGACTCATTGAAAAGTTTTCCGGGAGGTAGAAACCAACAGAGTTCCATTCAAGAAAACTGAGCGTTTCGGGCATCCCTCCAGCCCCTACTGAACAGCTCTCTCTTCAGTAAAAAGTTTCTTAAAACCCATCAACCCCAAACTAACTTAGGTGGAGCGAGGAGCGGCGGGGGAAGAGAAAGGGAGAGAGAGGAACGAACGACAGCAATCTGCAGGGCAGAAGGACAGCTGCCACTCAAACAACGCCATCATTCCAGAAATAATATCCCTCAAAACCTGCTATTTCTTTAGCACTAGACAATGATTTTGTCGATAGAAAGCGGGAGGAACCAGAAGCGCCGAGCAGCTGAGAAAGCTGTGGTTTCTTTGGCTCGGAAAGGCTGCCAGACGCGGAGGAGGTGGGGGCTTCGGAAAAGAAACAAAATAACAAGGTAACCGACAGCTGAAACTGACTGGGTTGAGGGTTTGCTCTAATCAATAAGAACTGCTGTTCAATAATTGAGATTGCATAAAAAGCGAGCGAGCCTTCTGTCCTACAGCAAACACATTATTATGGTTTAGCACCCACGCAGAAAGAGAGGGTTGTATGGATTCCGCGGGACCGAGCTGAGAACCCCGCTAAGGGAATAACATTCTCCTCCATTCCTCCAGCAGGAGTTTGTTAGCGAGCAGACATCCAGCACAGACACACACAGCGGTGAGGAAAAGCTTATGGAGCGGCGCTCATTCCTCCCAAAGTTTCTCCTGCGAGTTCCGGAGAAACCTACCTGCTCTCTGGAAATGCAAGGCAACGAGGGTCTCCTAAACATTTTGCAGCTGCCGTAGTAGCTGACCGAAGTTTCCCCTAGGGACACGCAGCTGGATCTCCTCCTGGGTCTGATCACAGGCACTTTTTCCTCCAGGCTGGGGAGGCGCGGCTGGCGGTGATGCTGGTGGTGCGCTCCCCGGCTGTGCTCCGAGAAGATGCCGTGCTCCCCGCCGCAGAGTGCCAGGAGGCAGCCTGCCACCCCCACCGTGCCGGCCAGCA